CCGACAGGAATGGACAATTTTTGTCCGATTAATTTGACCTACAGTTAATATTATTTGGAAAATACTATTATATTGATATGAGAAAAAACACTTTAAAAGTCGTAATACAACGTAGGTTTTGCTCAATCGCAACAGAAAGTATTTTGAAGGCGGAAACGTTTAAATCTTTCCAGATTTTATATACGTTTACTTTGCTTTATTATTCATTTAATTTTTACATTAAAAAACGATTAAGAGGATTTAAACTTTCCCGTGCGTGTATGTAGTACGAAAAACGTTTAACCGAATAGCAGCTTTAATGAGGCTCATCAAGAGGTTATGATCGACAGGCGATATTCCTTAAAAAGACGCGACAGACTGTCAAAAAAGGCGACAAACGACAGCTTCTGACTGGGAAAAAGCGACAAATTGCTATTTGTGTTATGGGTCAAAAGTGACAGCGACAGTTATTACAATAAAACAAGCGACAAAGCAGCTATAAAATGAGTGACAAGCAACCTGATTGCACCCGTGGTGGGCCTCTTTAATGATATTCGGAATTTTGACTACACTATGCAAATCGCAATGTTCTACGTCAGGATAATATTTCAGTCGAATCATAACATAACAATATGTTTACAGTAGCCTTATTTACGCTGTATGTAATTTTTTAATTTGACAAATTTATTTGGATCGATAACATTGTACAAACAATATATTATCAATACAGTTAGGCCTACATAATTAATAGCTTGAAGATCCAAAAAGGCAAGGTACGAACGGCACACCGGAAAAAGGATCCATGCAAGGCACTTATTTTTAGATTTTGAGCCAAGAATTTAGATTTTGTGTACTTAAATGTTGCACATACTACCATATACTCTCCAGGAATTTAGATTTTGTGTACTTAAATGTTGCACATACTACCATATACTCTCCAGGAATTTAGATTTTGTGTACTTAAATGTTGCACATACTACTATATACTATCCAAGAATTTAGATTTTGTGTACTTAAATGTTGCACATACTACTATATGCATATCCAAGAATTTAGATTTTGTGTACTTATATGTTGCACGGACTACTATATACTCATCCAAGAATTTACTGTTTTGTGTACTTAAATGTTGCACGAACTACTATATACTCTCCAAGAATTTAGATTTTGTGTACTTAATGTTGCACATACTACTATATACTCTCCAAGTGATTTAAATTTTGTGTACTTAAATGTTGCACATACTACTATATAAAAAATCTTAAATGGAGTCGTTAAAATGGAAGACATGGGGACTGAAAAACAAATAAGACAAACATAGACATACCAACAGGCAGCTATGTCTTGTCGGCAAGGACAGTCGCGTGCTAAGGACCATGAACGTACATGCAGGACAAATCATCATCATAGACTGTCTGAACGGAAGATGAGAATGGTTACGCTTAAGAAAGGTTGTAAAAGTAATGGGACTGGAAAAAGTGTTAGGATCAACATCCTTATACTCTGTTCCAGGGTTTGACTATGCGGCTAAAGAAAGATGATTGGAAAGTAGTATAGTTTGATACATAGCAGTTTTAAGAACAACGCTAGCAACCTAGTTGAATCTGGTATACGGCCATGTCCAACGAAAGTCACATAAGTTCATCCCCCATTTTGGGGGTACTGCATGGGCCCTACGGTTTTAGCCATGATCTGAACTGGTTAACTGGGTGTCCGAATTGGCCATTTTGGGCCAAGGTAATGACAATTTTGGAAAGTTTACACGGAAAATTTTTTGTCAAGTCGGGAACAATGGGGAAAAGCCTTCATTATCAATTTGCTGTCTTAAATCATAATTGGTCGTCCAAAAGAAGTCTGGCTGGCTGGCTGGATAAAACCCTGGTACTGACTTTCCCTAACCTGAGTGTGCGCGCACCGCGAAATGTCGATTTTTACTATTACTGTACTGTAGTTGTGTGTGCAATGATGGTACATTTACAGTCACAACTTTGTAAACTCGCTTTTCATTGTTTCAATTGTGATAAGTCTTAATTATTACGGCTATTTTTCACTGTAGGATACGAACCAGCATGACATAGAACACTAGTTGAATACTTAATTGACATGCATAGTTTACATCTTTCAGTTTCATCTGCATGCTGTGATTCAACTACAATTTGGACTACTGTTGCGCAGCATTTACCAGCGACGCAAATAACACAAAACATTTTTTTCCCAGAATCGCGTACGAAGACAAAACAGAAATTTTTAATTTCCTTTGACTTCCGCAAATTCCTGGCCTGAGCGTAGTCTGGTGATCATGTGGACGTTTGATCTACTGTCATTAGACTGCGCGCAAGCTAGAATTTCTGACCTCAATGGCATAGTATATTGCTATTTCGCAAATTACTTCCTTCGTCTTTATTGCTAATTGTACAGGCAATGCACCTCCCACGTCTCGAAGAATTAGCCGCATGATTTTTGCATTACGTCTGATATCAACCTTGTTCACACATTTTTAGGACTTTTTTGTTAAATATTGTCGAGAATGTTCTCTCTCCACGAAGTTGTAGTAGATACAAGAATATATTTGCTTGTCCGCATTTACATGATATCCTGACAAGCTACCTGTCGTGAATGTTTAATTACCGCCAAAACTGTAGTTCCGAGAAGACAAGTCACGCAAATAAAATTATCAATTTAATAAAAGTTTCAAAATAACAATGATAATTAAAATTTAATAGATTAAAAATTGTTTATACTACATATGACCATCAGTTTCGGATTTTAATACGTCTTCGGTTAATGTTCTATGGATGTTTTTTTCAAAATTGTTTTACAAGACTCGTAGTTGGGGCCCAAAGAGGAAAGACTTTGTGAACGTCTAGTTAAACCTTAGCCTATACTTGTGTTTACGCACGCGGAATATTAGTCCCTTAGAACGATGTGGGCGGGCAGCTATAAAGTTAATAATATTATAAACCATGCAATTGACAATTGTTTATGCACTCGAGAAGAAAAGGAAGAATTGGATTATCCGTTGTAATCCTCTGTTACTTCAACAAATAGAAACATTTCATCGCGTTAATCGCTTTTTAACAAACTTCCGGCCTAGAAGAAAGATTTGAAACATAAAGAATCTCAAGTAGAAAGTTTTATAAATTCCGCGGCAGTACAAGTTCAACGCATTTTGACGTTGAAATATTGGCGTGATTAATCGCATATGTTGACGTTCTCTGGATTAAACGCACCCTTGAGACAATTGTGAAATTCGTGGAGAATGAACGATTTTGTTACCCAATCAAATATCATCTGTACATTCTTGGAAAGTCTGCGCTAGTCTAGGTAGTGGCAATACTAAGAAAGCTTTGAATTCATAGAGATACAACTATACCTGCAAAATACAAGGGAAACTTCGACAATACGAGCGAGTTCCCCTTGCATTGTCCCTATCAATCAGAGAAGTTTTCATATTCTTGGAAATCCCATATAATGAACAGTGTATATACTTTTTATTACCAAAACCGCAAACTACTTTATCACGCCAAAACAACATTCAGAAACGCGATTACATTTCTACGCCATTCTCTGCTGAAATATGAAATTATTAGTTACAATATCTCGGCATAGTAGCAATTCTCAAGACGTCGACTTCACAGCGTTGAATTGAATTGAATAACCTTTTCCCAGCTGGAGACAACTTCACTCAAAAGTGATTTTCACAAAGGTGGTGTTTTGACTTGAAAATATGACGCGTTTTTTGAAGCGGGAAACGGCTCCGCGGTTTTTGTAATGTTGCCCATAGGCAATAGATTAAAAATTGTTTATATTACATAATGATTATGATCATTTCAGATCATTTAATGCAGCTTCGGTTAATGTTCTTTGAATTTTTTTTTTTAAAAACGGTGACGGCCTGCCTTTCGATAAGTGAGATACCAGGGTTACCGACACCTGCGATTTTTTCTCACGCAGGGAACGCACTGAGGGCAAATTGATCGCGCTGCCAGCGCATGGGAAGTGCATGCAATTGCACGTGCAATGAGCACGTGCATGCAGATGTTTGGACAAATGCAAACCAGAGTTTTACAAATCGAGACTAAATTCATGGTACCGATTCTCGGACAAAATTTAGTGCTCTTAATTTTATAGACGCATGAATGTTTAAAAGTTTGTTTACTGTCAAATAAGTGTGATCTGAGGCAAAATATTGTGTAGTCAATATATAGATCTAGACTGCCTAAATTGGTTTAAAAGACTTTAAGTGCATGAATTTGTAGTTATTCTGTGATTAACTGATTTCGCCATGTATATCGACAGCATATATGGACTCAAACTTGGCGATCTCTTTGAACGTTTTTTTTTTTCAAAATGGTGACGGCCTTTCGATAAGTGAGATACCAGGGTTACCGACACCTGCGATTTTTTCTCACGCAGGGAACGCACTGAGGGCAAATTGATCGAGCTGCCAGCGCACGAGAAGTGCATGCAATTACACGTGCAATGAGCACATGTTTGGACAAATGCAAACCAGAGTTTTACAAATCGAGGCTGAATTCATGATTCCGATTCTCGGACAGAATTTAGCGCTCTTACTTTTATAGACGCATGAATGTTTAAAAGTTTGTTTACTGTCAAATAAGTGTGATTTGAGGCAAAATATTGTGTAGTCAATATAGATTAGACTGCCTAAATTGGTTTAAAAGACTTTAAGTGCATGAATTTGTAGTTATTCTGTGATTAACTGATTTCGCCATGTATCGACAGCATATATGGACTCAAACTTGGCGATCTTTTACTAGTCCACTGGATTAGCAATAGCTGGCCGCCAAATATTTTTACTGACCGGAAGGGTTTATCGCAACCGCGAACTCAATAGTCAATACAAACCGCTCCACGCTGCAGAGGGAATAATAAATTCGTTTTCTTTTTATTATAAGTAAAATTTTGCTGCGGCTTAAAAATAGAAATGCAACGCTTTCAATCCCATATACCGTTATAACAACCTATATACAAAATGCATTATCTTTTCTTACCATTTTAGGACAAGCCAAATTGTATTGTGAAGCCATGTATATACGAAGTCTGAACACGGACAGCAAAGATAGTAACGATAAAATCCACAACAATTAAAAACTTAATACATAATATTTATGTCAATTTAGTAGGGCCGCTTTTTTTGGATGTTCATAAACTTCAATGAACTTGCATCGAAGAGAAACGCGGGAAAAACGACTGAAATGATTTTTCATGAGGCGAACTATTACTAATGCATTTTCTTAATTTTTCCGAAATGTTTTATAATTCTTGATCGGATACCGTAAACCTCGTAAGCGTTCGTAAGCATTTTTTGCAGGGCTTGTACATGAGAAGGCTTGTATACGGGGGTGGCTATATACGGACGACATGCCTGTAATTCGAAACGTTTAAATATAGACAAAATAGTAGTGTTTGCACTTGGTCTCTACATGGCGTTCTTTTCATATTATTCTGCATGGGCGCTTCTGACGATCTACTACTACACGAGACCTACTACTAATCTGATCAGATGATTCAGCTGTGGTGAATTAGCGTGTTTTTTTTGTTGCATAAACAAATTAGTAACCACCCACCAAGAATGATAAAATAGCTACCTATACATCTACCAACGGCACAGCAAGCGCATTCAGTCTCGGCCGACAGGAAACATTTCCAGAATCTGTACACTTGCCAAAATTTAAATACAGCCAAGGCCACCAGGAACATTATGGCGACATTTGTGAAATTCTCCTAAGCCCCAGTCAAACGAGGAGAGAGTTGATGAGAGTTGTCAGTCACGCATTGCTACAATCTCGTTCCCCGAGCCTGCGATCCTCGGGAAGGAACGCGAGGCTCTGGGATAATCCGTTGCCGGAAGCCAGGAATTGTGGCTAAGATTGAACTACGCATTCCACTTCAACGGTCAATCAGATTCCTTCCTGAAACGAATTATCCCAGAGCCTCGCGTTCCTTCCTGAGGATCGCAGGCTCGGGGAACGAGATTGGCATTGCTACAGGGGGGCATTTGAAGCTCTAGATTAACGAAATAAAGGTTTAATGAGTGTTCCAACTATGTTTTAACTTGAATAGAATACATGATAGTGTTGGGAAAGCATTAAGAACAGCCGAACCGAGGCCGGAAAGACTGCCAACTCTCACGCACTCTCGTCCTCGTTTGATCCTGGCAAAAATAATTTACGGAAACAATTGACCATTTGCGTAATAGACTAAATTTTGATCTGAACAAAAATTTCATTACAGCTTGAAAAAACATCACAAAATTAGTAATATTCCAAAGTTTCGTTGCAAAATGTTGTAAAATGTGGAAAATATAGCCTTGCGAAGTTTGCAATTTTCAGTCATTTTAGATTACAAACCGGAAATTGACAGCCTCGAAGGGTTTGGGCATAGAATAAAGATCCATATAGAAGGGCCACTTACGTCGGAAGCTTTGAAGTTTCTGTCCTCGCGCATGTCGCATTACGCATGTTGGCCGCCATTTTCCTAGCCAGTCAATGACATTTTCTGGCCAATAAACGCGCTGTATTGGCTGGCTGCTCCGCCTTCTGGCCAGTAAACTGCATATTTTTGCATAAAAAAATGAGGACATGTTGCACCGCTGAGTGGCCCTTCTATATGGATCTTTATTCTATGGTTTGGGGCTGTCAATTCCCCGTTTGTAATCTAAAATGACTGAAAATTGCAAATTTCGCAAGGCTATATTTTCCGAATTTTACAACATTTTGCAATGAAACTTTGGAATATTACTAATTTTGTGATGCTCCTTCAAGCTGTGATAAAATTTTTGTCTAGACTTGTTTAGTTCAAAATTTAGTCTATTACGCAAATGGTCAATTAAGGCTACTGTTACAAAAAACAACATGTACACAAGCAGCACGAAATCTATACTACACGCGTAAAAATTGAGAAAATCAACAACTTGTTCCAGGTTGATATCAACAGGCGTGAACAAGGTTGTGCGGCCCACTATGAACAGTATTGTCAACATATGTTACAGCTAGCATTGTTCGATCAACTGTAACAACTTGGAACAACATGGTTGACAACTTGTTCATAGTTGGCCGCACAACATTGTTCACGCCTGTCGATATCAACTTGGAACAACCTGTCGGCGTTTTTAGCCGTGTACAGAGTGCATAAAAAACGAGACCTTTAGAAATCAAGCTATTCTTGGAATTTGAACGCACAGCACTATAGTTGAGCCCGCGCAAAACAGAATAGAAGTGAATTTTAAGCATGGCGAAGTTATTTAAAACTTTAAATTGTTTTCGTCGATTGTTTGAATTATATATGTGCGGATTATATATATAAACGCAGCGCTTAAAACAGTAAAAACTCGTTGCTTTGTGCTCAGTGTTGAACGATTTTTATTCGAACTGATGATATGTGACTATAATTTAGTAATTTGACAATTTTTTATGCAGTTATATGCGGTATCATGCCATTCAAGAAGCTCTTTTAAATTCCCAGGAGCATAAAATGTCAGGTGCTTAACAAAATTATAGAATTGATTTCTAAAGGTCTTGCTTTTTTATACACCCTGTATAATTGGCAAGATAGCAACCAACCCAATCTCGTTCCCCGAGCCTGCGATCCTCGGGAAGGAACGCGAGGCTCTGGGATAATCCGTTTCAGGGAGGAATCTGATTGGCCATTGAAATGGAATGCGTAGTTCAATCTTAGCCAGGATTCTTGGCTTCCGGTAACGGATTATCCCAGAGCCTTCGATTCCTTCCCGAGGATCGCAGGCTCGGGGAACGAGATTGCAACCAACCTCGTTGGGAGAGACCCTGGGAACGAGGTTGGATAGCAACCGCACTATTAAAGAGCGATACCGCAACCACTTACACGTGTCATGCATAAGTACTAAAAAGCCCAGGATTTTATTTATTTATTTGAAATATTTTATCATTAATATATTTATATAAAACTACGATAAAATAATACACAGTTAAAACCTAGCCAAACTACTTGATTATATCAACTTTGAAAGCTTCTACATTTAGCCGACGCGTTCACTATATGAACAGTCTTTACAACTAATATACTAGTATTAAGTTTCTATATTGTTGTTAGACAATGAATCAAAGATAATAGACTTTATATCAATCAACGTTTACATATTTTTTTCTAACTCTAACAGTTTGAAAATTCTAAAACTACGAAATTCTGCTACTACTACGAAACTTTCATCTGTTCACTTCCAATGTTATCTGCATGATCAACTAGGATAGCATATCAAATCTATATGAAAATGTAAACGAAAATTTGTAACATTAACATTGCGATATGCAATTGATGATTCCCCTTATTACGTTTTCGTAGCGCTTTGCATTGTGGTTATAGTGGTATCACTGATAAAGATAGCGTCCTCGAATGAAAATATTCAAAGTTTTCGCGAATATTTTGCTGCTAGCTATCGCGCACCTGACCCTAGCTTTTTTTAAAAGTTCTTGCACGGGTCAGGACAAAAAATAAGCCATCTTGAATATATATCAGTGATACTACTATAACCGCAATGCAAAGCGCTATGAAAACGTAATAAGGGGAATCATCAATTTCGTCATCAAATCTGTTTTTTAGACCGCGGGGGAACCCAGAAAAATTACACTGTGCAGAAGTGGAATATAAAAACTGATCGAGTAGTATTTCATCAGCCTTCATCCAAATACGTTAAATTATATATTCAGAAAGAACTTAACTTATAAATTTTGATATACTACTATAATCCTGAGATTCTCGACTGCCGGCATGCAAATGACGCGTTCTAATTTGCGTGACAGTGAATTGCAGCTGAATCATTTTAAACATGTATAGCTAAGACTCGAAGCATTAATTAGAATCAGTTAAAACATGAGCAGCCGATCTGTCTCGTGTCGAATAAAGATCGGATGCGAATGTTTTAACGTATTTAAAAAACGACCCATCTTACCAATCATTGGCAATGTAATTTTAAAAATAAATATTGTCTAGTCTGTCTAAGCCGAGAAAATAAAGCTGAAGTTTATGTAAATCAGAACAAATCTTCATCCGATTTACAGACATTGATTAAACATTCATTTCTTTTGTATTTTCTTCATGAATTATTAATGAGTATTTTAAATATATACCGTATACACATGCATCATTATTAATTTTGTGTTTCATTTATAGCCTCAATATAGAACTATCATTAAGGCCGCGTTAAGACTGAGTGCCCGGCACTGGTGCCCAACGTTTAAAATTGTTCACAAAACATGTTGAGCACAGTGCCGTTGTTGAGTCTGTTGAGTACTACCTCTAGAGGTAGTGCCCTTTCTTGGGCACTGTGCCCAGTTTCATTTGGCCATGGAAGCATCATGTTCAAACTAGGCGCCAAAACATGTGACGGGCACCAGTGCCGGGCACCCAGTCTGGACGCAGCCCAAGTTTTCTAATTTAACGCGACTCAAGCGTGCGGAAACTGGTCGAAACTGTTTCAGTGCCAAATATTTTCGCATACCGTAGACTGAGGGATTGCGTGGGCTCGCCTGCTGTAGTACATTAGTGTCTAGTCATAACTTCAATGACGTCAATCATGCTGATTTAGTGAGAGTGGCAAAGTATTCCGTTCAGCAATCTAGTATCTTCTTGAAATAAAAATAGACTAGCAAGAACCGTACGAAAGTGCGCAAAAATTCTAAACGGCCAAACCGCACCCAGTCTAAGTTCTAGAATCCTTCGAATTAAATTAATAATGAAATGAGTAACATGCCCCTACAATCTTAGAAATACAGAAACAGTGCTGCCCTTTGAAATAAACTATACCTAATGGGGCAACACCTATTCCAAGTAATTTATCAACTCATGATTGCCCCAGCAATGACATACAGTGACTATGTTACATTGGAACTATCGAACTGCATGTCAAGCTAAATTCAAACTACTGGAAAGCCGAGCTAGGAAAATTATTCTAAATGGGCGAATTGAAGACATCGCTGAATTGAAGACATCGCTGAATTGAAGATCCATGATTTCAAATCACCTCGTATTTTTGACACTTGTATTTATGGTAATTTTTAAGTTCATAAACAATTTGTAATGTGATCTTTTCAAATGGATCAATTTGTAATGTGATCTTCTCAATTTTAACTCAGCAATAGTAGTCGTCGAGGCTTGTGTGTTTAAATAAAGTTTCTACAAAGATTCGGCAATTGGTTTAGTTTAATTACCAACATAACTAGTTCCTGAGCAAAATTTACTCAATTTTTTTAATAATGTTTCAAATTTACTCAATGTTAGTAAAATTGACTTTTATTACTTTAAGTTAGCGTAAAAGAACCTATAAAGTTCACCTTCACGGAAAATTGACGAATTTTCGGAAATTTTGACCTAAAAGAGGGCTAAAAACAGTCTTTTCGAGTGCAAATGCGGGGGGGGTGCGGAAATTTGAAAGTTTTGTCGGAAAT